TTTCCCATACAAACGTTTTTTTTGACATTAGTTTTGACAATTAACTAATATTTCAATCATTCTGTCGCACTTCAAAACACGAAGATTTATGGCTTACAGGTAAACTCCAAAAATATAAATAAAAAAACGTAACAGATATTTCTTGATTATAGGGCGATACGAAGTTCGCTAGGTCTTCTAGTATTTAATAAATCAATAACTTTTTAGGTATTTTTTTCATATATAGTAATAAATTAAACACTAAATAATTAGTAATTGTTAACAAAAAATCCTTAAAAATATTTCAACTCAAACTTTCTTCTGATAATCTGCTTCCAATGTAGATACGTGGAATTATACAATGCTAGTTACGAGGATTTGCACTATACCTGAAAATTATGTTACTTTAATATATTAGTGACTTATACATATAATGTCATGACTGAACAGGTCTGAGACTGATGCATTAAAAGCATGCAAAATATTCACAAAAATACAATAAGTAAACACAATCAAAAATGGTAAATAGTCAGTTACAATTAAAAATAGTCAGTGGTGGCCTAGTGGTTAAAGGGTCCGCCTCTCGTTGCCGAGGGCGCGGGTTCTAACCTGGCAAGTACCAATGTGATTTTTCGGAGTCATATGTACTTTCTGAGAGTATTTAGACACCACTGACATACGGTGAAGGAAAACATCGTGAGGAAACACGGACTTATAATTTCATAATTATAAGTTTGAAATCACCAACCCGTCTTGAGCGAGCGTGGTTATTAATGCTCTAACCTTCTCCATGTGAGAAAGAGGCCTTACAGCAGTGGGCTCTGATAGGCTGATGACGATGACGACGAATTAAAAATGAAATAGTTTTGGATTCGGATGCATTAAATAAAAATTATGTTTTTATTAAATTTTTCAAGCGTATGACTATTGAGATGTAAGACTTTCGCGAGTATTCATTTAAATAAAACCAATATTTTCTAAGCTATTTCTATTATTTTAGACAACATACACAAATGTTGATCTCGTATTTACGATCACGGTTACAAAGTCACCGAAACGTCGGGAGTGTCATGTCATGTCATGTCATCAGTCTATCAGAGTCCACTGCTGAGCAAGGCCCCTTTCTCACATGTAGAAGGTTTGAGCATTAATCATCACGCTTGCCCAAGACGGGTTGGTGATTTCAAACTTATAATTATGAAACTATAAGTCCAGGTTTCCTCACGATGTTTTCCTTCACCGTATGTCAGTGATGTCTAAATACTCTCAGAAAGTACATATGACTTCGAAAAATCACATTGGTACTTGCCAGGTTTGAACCCGCGCCCTCGGCAACGAGAGGCGGACCCCTTAACCACTAGGCCACCACTGACTACTGGTCGGGAGTATGTAGTTAAAATAATAAAAAACGCGTAGTAACCTGAAAATAACAGTTTCAAATCACACAAAATTAACCTCCTATCAGGAAATACGAAAGAAAATATGCACCCACAAAACAAAATTCTTTGCCAAAATGAAAATATTATTTTTATAAAACATAGCTACATTCCGATGTTTTTACGTCGTAATTAGAAATAACATGATATTTGTTATAAGAAATGAAACTTCTCATCATTCAATGTATTCACGGTACGTGTGTCGGGTCCGTCGTTGTAGTGAGAGGAGCTTCAACAGTGACTGGGACTTGCGACCCAGGTGTAGGTTTAAGGGACTCTAAAATGTTGTATATTCATATTATTATCACGAGTTAGGAATGTTTATTAAAAAAATATACAATATTTATATAAATTGCAATAAAACCAATAAATAACAATAATTATCGCGTGTTCAATCTCTATAATATATTTGTCACGAAACTAGTTTTGGCGCGACGCCATTACACGCGGTCGTCTGATAACAGATAATATTTTAGTTAACTTAAAAGTTATTTCGTTTCAGTTATTTATATTATTTAAACTGTGAATTAATTATAATAATATTATAATCAGTTTTCATATTGAATTTTAAAATTAATAACAGTTTTGAAATATATGTATAGTCCCATAGGCCTCGGCCTCGAATTTTGCGGGCAGCGGAGCGGCGGCGGCGGCGGCACGGCAACGCATACTGTTCTCCAAACTAGCGGGCAGCGGGCACCGCTGTATTCGAGGGTCGGTCCATTTGATTATACGCGTAAGATCCTGCCGCTCCCGCTGCCGCTCCGCTGCCCGCAAAATTCGAGGCCGAGGCCTTACACTTAAACTGAGCTTTGCATTTGTGTGAGTGAAAGTAAAAGTAGAGTTAAATAAAATAATAAAATGACTTAGTTTTAGGCGGAGTCACGGGAAAAAGCTAGTTATAAATGATTAAACTTTGATATTAATATATAAAAACCCACAATAAAGCATTAATTAACATAGTTCTAGTTTCTAAAGAGAAAATTAAGGTCCACGCAATAGTCCAAGATGTAAAATTTAAAATACCGTGTTTTTACTTCATAAAACTTTATTATAATAATAAAATACGGCTACCGGAGGTTGCAGGAAAACTAAGAAACATACTTATATATATATATATATATATTATAATAAGAATTACATATTAAAACTTATAACCTACACCTAAGACTACATGATTGACCCGATGTTAGGATAGCAATACCATTCCATAGCTTGTGTGTATCAGGAATCTTCTGGTTCACACGCTTGGTGTTCGTTCCGCGGAGTCAGCGGCGTCACTCGTTATATATTATATACATACAACGATGTCGCCCCGGCGATGTTCATTTATTTCTTTATATGTAGCGCATACGTAACGTATTTCATTATAATAAAAACAAACACTTATTATTTATATAGAACTAGCTTTGCGCCAACAGCTTCGCCCGCGTGAGTTCGGTTATATCGCGTTACCAAGAGAACCTTTCACAAGTCTGGGATAAAAAATTATCCTATGTTCTTTCTCAAGGTCAACTCTATGTCTGTACCAAATTTAATTAAAATCAGTTCAGTGGTTTAGGCGTGAAAGCGTAACAGACAAACAGACAGAGTTCTTTCCCATTTATAATATTAGTAGGGATTAAAGTAAGAATTGTGTTCTAAAAAACGTTTTTTACTTTAAAACGTTCTTTTCAAATCGTGTTAAATAACTTCTTGTAAGCTAGTGAAGTTTTAAGTCGACTTTAGTGATGATAAAACTTACTTTATGTGACTCGGAATTCAATTAATTTTTTATTTTTGTTTCGCTTAACTTAAATACTTACAGTTTGAACGTATAAATGGAAACTATATAGTTTTAAATGAAACTAACGCTAAGAATATATATACAAAATATACATAAAAATAGCGGTCGTAGTGGCCTAGAGGTTAAAGTCCCGCCTCTCATGCATGAGGACGCGGGTTCGATACCTAGCAAGTACCAATGTGATGTTCCCGAGTCATATGTACTTCATAAGAGTATTTAGACACCACTGACTGGTGAAGGAAAACATCATGAGGAAACTTGGACTTATATCAAATTATTAGGTTTAAATCATCAACCCGTCTTGAGCGAGCGTGGTGATTAATGCTCAAACCTTCTCCATGTGAGAAGAGGCCTTACAGCAGTGGGCTCTGATAGGCTGATGATAAAGGTTCTAAATAAATACACTATATATACATTTTATTGTGTATGTTATCCGTAAAATTAATTAAGTACAAAATTTTACAACTAAGTATAGTTAAAAGACGTCTGTCATCACTTAAAAACTTTCTTTCGGTTAAATTTTAACTCAAAACCTGATAATCGTAACATAAAGGTTAATCTACTCTACATTTCTTTGTTAATATCAAAGATTTTTATCTTATTTTATGTTAATAATTCGTGACTATGAACTATTAAATTAAAATTTGTTTTAAATTTCTATGCTAAGGCTTCATTCGCACTGAAATCCCTACTAATATTATAAATGCGAAGGTAACTCTGTCTGTCTGTTACGCTTTCACGCCTAAACTACTGAACTGATTTTAATGAAATTTTGTACAGACATAGAGTTGACCTTGAGAAAGAACATAGGATAGTTTTTATCCCAGAATTTTGAAAGGTTCTCTTCGAAACGCGATATAACCGTACTCCACGAGGGCGAAGCTGCGGGCGGAAAGCTAGTCGTTGTATAACTATCAATGTCAATGTTTTTATTTGTTGGACGAATTATAATCTTGTACTGTTTGGAGACACGAAGTTTTCGAATGGTATAAATACGTTTATTTAAGTATTATTTTAAAGAACTAGTTATATTTTTACTAGCATTATCAAGCGTTTTTTTAACGTCGACTGTCAAAACGCAGCATTAAACGACAAATAGATTGCTTTAATTGAAGTTATATTTATATGAAACAATACCTTAATTACTTTTATGGTAAATTTAAATATTTTTAAATAAATAATATGAATGATTTTATATAATCTTATCTTATAATCACCTACATACATATATACATGTACATAGCAGTACAGGCATATATTTTTGGATTGGAAAGTCTTTGATAAAAAATATATACACAAACCTCATCATTTAGCTTAACACAAGTCGTCACTACATACGATGAGTTTCCCGTTTTTCAAACAATAACCTTCCTTAATATTGTAATGATAGATTTATGAATGAAAAACTATTATCGCTACGAATGTAGGTGACAACAGAACTAGGAGTAAAATAACTAAATGTGAAATATATAGAACAACAAGAAGTTCAAGAAAACTACGAAATATACTTATATGTATATTATAATAAGAATTACATATTAAAACTTATAACCTACACCTAAGACTACATGATTGACCCGATGTTAGGATAACAATACCATTCCATAGCTTGTGTGTATCAGGAATCTTCTGGTTCACACGCTTGGTGTTCGTTCCGCGGAGTCAGCGGCGTCAAGAGTTATATATCCATACAACGATATTGCCCCGGCGATGTTCATTTATTTCTATTATCTCTTCCAGAATCCTGCCTTAATGAACCAGTCAATTGGAATCATGGACAAATAGTTTTGTGATAAACTATGGCTACGCCCCCGGAATCTCCCGTGGAGGAGCACGCTTATGAACTTGAACCGAACCGAGCACCGAAACCGATACCAGTAGCCCTTGAAGAGTTGTGCAGACAGACCAAGTTCTCCAAACAGGAGATCAGGGTTATGTACAGGGGATTCAAGACGGTGAGCTATTTAATGTACTTCTTCACAAGTATTTAATGTTCTTCTCCACAGCTATTTAACGTTCTTCTCCACAAAAACTTCTCTGGATTATATATGGTTAAATATGATCGAAATGAATTCTTTGTTGATATTTAAAAGTATTATTTAATATGAATAATGAGGTAGAACATTATTTGACACAGTGATCTGATACATGAAAAATACCATAAGATATTTAATGAAAAATAAATGTAAATGTAGTTTTTTAATTTTAATTAACTATTTTAATAAAATTCTCCATTATTTTTATGTGAACAACAGAAGACGACGCAATATAATGATATTGTCTTATTTATGGATTCTTCAAGTTTCTTCAAATCTCTCTTTTAAACCCAAAACCATGAATATATCCCAAGATATAACCCAAATTTTTACCCAACGATCTCCCTTCTATACCAGCACATATGTATAATGTTCCTTGGTTTCTGGGAACTGATATTTCTGGTTGAAACCAATTCTATTTAAAACTCGTGATACTTTTCAATCGATTGCAGGAATGTGAATGTTCCATGTCGCTATTTCTTCTGAAAATTTTGACAATAATTTCTATTAAAAAATAAGACTTCTTTTTGATGAAAATGTTTAGTAAATATAAGATCATATTTCTTCCAAATTAATCCATTCGGTATATTTCTTTGTATTCATACAAAAAAAATATGTTTTTTTTTTGTATAGAATATTAGGTATAGAATAATAGGTATTTTGGCCTCTTTAGTAGAAAAAATATTGTTTAAGTCAATTTTAATGAGTATATTATGTAAATAATACTCAATATATTATTTTTCCTATATATTTTCTTATTTAGATATTAAAACTAGGTCGCTTACATTTTAAATCGATGTCTCAATACTATCTGTACTTGGAATAAAGTCACCGAGTCTCAATAGGACAAAGTTAAAATATCTAAATGTGAAAAAAGTTGTTGAAAATTATTAAGATTTTTCTATGTTAAGGCTTCTTTCGCTCTGGAATCATGGTATATTTTGCTAATGCTAAAGTTTTTATTTGTTGGACGAATTAATAATTAAATAATCTTGTATTGTGTGGAGGAAACAGGAGTTTGGCTAAAAAGAATTGTATTTTTACCATAACATTAAGATTTTTTTTTATAAATTTAACAATTTATGGCATTGAGTAGTGTCAACATATTGTAAACCGAATATTCTGCTTCTACCTGGCAATTTTCCTAGCTTTAGTCAGGATCTGCCTTACATGTGAATAGTTTTGGCTTATTGTTTTTACGACCGGCCGCCTGCCTGTCATCAACCCTCTTTGGGAATGACACCGAATATAATACTTTGACACAATACAAAAATATTAGCTTTCAACAAATAAAATAACACTAACTGTCAAATGTTATATGCATTCAGAAATTTATTTTATACTTTCAAATAACATAATATGGGCCAAACTAATCTTTTTATTTGGAGAATATACAATGAAAACTATTGATTAATACAGAATACCTCCATTTTTGAAATCGGTTAATACTATTTAGGATATACAGGGTGACTGGTGAATTACTATCGATACTTGAGGACGTGATATTTGACGATCATATATGACAAAATAAAAATTAATATAACATAAATATTAATAAACTTCTAAGTAAAGTTAACCAAAAGTTGTGTAATTAATTACGCATCGTGTGAACACCCTACAGATTAGGTATACACACACACAAACACACACACGCGTGCGGCGGCGTGGTGTTGTATCAGCACGCCGCCGCACGCGTCCACACTTGGAACACTTGGAACGTGTCCACACTTTATTTATTTATACGGAAATTTGGTCAAAAATTAAGTACCTATTTTTTTTTACATAATTCGAATGAGAATCATGTACCGAGTATTCTCCTTAAATATTGATAGTAATTCACCAGTCACCCTGTATATAAACTATGTAATAATATCTATTCTCAAACAGTAAAATAAATTTAAAAACTATCGCGGGAAACCATTGCTTTAGATTTATAGATCGTAAACAAGCTTTTATTTGACCGGGAGTCGAACCCACTTCCCGGAGCGATGCCAAATGTAATGCCATTCTTACTTGGAACGTGGCTTTGAAAATTTCTATTAATTTTATTGAAATCTCTACGATTTTTGTGTACCTGTATAGAAAGTTCTAGAAATCTACATTACATATTAAAAATTATAGCTAAAATCAATGATTTTTAAATAAAACGTTTGATAATGCATTGTATATGATAAAAATGTTCTACTTTTTTGTTGGATCGTACTAAAAACAAATAAATAAAGATACCCGGATAATCTATATGTAAAAGAAAGTCGTGTTAGTTACACTATTTATAACTCAAGAACGGCTGTACGGATATATTTGAAAATTGGTAGAGAGATAGATTAGAACAAGGAGACGGACATAGGATATTTAATTCTGTTCGATCGAAATATAAAAAACTTAATAAACTCCAATATCTGGTTATTTACAGCCTCTACGTCGAAATAGAGTTCGCCCGGTCAGCTATACATATATTACTAATGCCGAAATTAACGCGGACGAAGTCGCTGACAAAAACTAGTGTTATAAATCGTATTATTATCAATGTTTCAAATTAAATTATTTATAAATCTATCCAACGTTTTCGTATCAGGAAGCAAGCATCGATTTGTTGAAACTGGGCCGCATCTGAAATAGTGTTATGCAATAGTTGCTATGATTTTATGCTCCTAAACTATTTTGGGTGATGTCATTGACCCTTGAATTTTAGATCGTATGGGCACTTAATAAAGATTTTATTTTAATTTACATGTATATGATATCTATGTATATAAAAGAAAGTAGGTAGTTACACTATTTATAACTCAAGGACGGCTGTACGGGGTTAGATGGAAATTGGCGGAGAAATAGAACAAGGGAAAGGACATAGGATACTTTTGAATTCCAAATTCTTCTTATTTACTACCTTTAAGGAGGAATAGAGTTTGCCTTGTCAGGTATACATTTCTAACTTTGAAAGTAACGTAGACGAAGTCGCGGGCATAAGCTAGTATATATAAAAGAAAGTCGTGTTAGGTACACTATTTATAACTCCAGAACTGCTGTACGGATTTGGCTCGAAATTTGTGGGAGGTTAGAATCAGGAGACGAACATAGGATAGGTACTTTGAATTCGTTCGAACAAAAACAAATTGGTAATAAAACTCAAAATCTATTTATTTATTGTCGCTAAATCGAAACAGACAAATTCGCGGGCGAAATCTAGTGTAATAATAAACTAGAATCATTTTATTTTTATTAAACATTAAGTCCGCCTCTCATGCGCGGGTTCGAAACCTGGCAAGTACCAATGTGATTTATCCGAGTCATATCTTCTTTATAAGAGTATTTAGACACCACTGATTAATGAAGGAAAACATCGTGAGGAAACCTTGACTTATAGTTACACAATTATAAGTTTAAAATCACCAACCCGTCTTGAGCGAGCGTGGTGATTAATGCTAATCTTTTCCATGTGAGAAGAGGCCTTACAGCAGTGGGCTCTGATAGGCTGATGATAGTTATTCAAAATGTTTGTACGCTTTCCACAAGTTTTCCTCAAAAACAGTGAACTTCTAGTTGTCTAAATCTGTACATATTATAGTATTAATAATGATTATTGAAAGATATACTACTAACGTCACGTATGCAGTGTGATACTTGTGGTAAGAATACTTTTTGCGAGCGGTACCTACGTACTTATGTTTTTAAATTGTCCCCATAGTTATTTTCAAGCCACTTTCAAGCTAGTATATTATTAATAATATATTATGTATATTTGTATATAAGTTAGAACATATAAAGAAACATTTTGTTAGCAGGATAAATTAAATTTTTGATAGCCTAAATACTACTTCATTCTTCTTCGCTCGATTCGAAGTGGAACTATAGTCCAAGGCATTTTTATATAATTAATTAAATAATATTGTTACAGAGTACTATGTACGTCTTTCATACTTTTGTGGTTTCCTCAAATTAACTTATGCTTTGAAATATAATGAGATCTAATACTCACGAGTATTAATTTAAATGAAACTAATATTTTATGGATTACTACGCGTGGTTTTATTTTTGTAAACTACATACTCCCGACGTTTCGACTACTTTATAAAAGTGATCACGGGCAGACGAGATGTGAGTGTCTGTCAGTCTGTCCTGTTATTTTATCATCTACTGCTATCGATTTCTTAATTTTCTAGTGAACCGCTCTGGATGCCGGAAGAATGCCTAGAAAACTCTTAAGGACACTCACATCTCGTCTGCCCGTGATCACGGTTGCTGTAAAATAACCGAAATGTCGGGAGTATGTAGTTTTTTACAAAAAAAAAACCGCCTAGTATATCTAAAAAATATTAGTTTCATTTAAATGAAAAACTCTCGAAAATTATAGATCTCATTTCGTTAAAAACTGTGTAAATATGTATTGATTTGTTGGTTTTATACAAATACCATTTAGTTAACGAACCAGCTAATGAGTCACGCGAAGCAAAGCAAGCTGCAACATGCTATCTGTCGTGTCTAAGCTTATAATTGGTGAAGCTTATCATATTATTTTCACCATATCATTAATTTGCTTTAACCGATTACGAAAAAGAGGGTTTTGTTTTTTTTGGTAAATTTAACTTGTAGGTAATCAAATTGTCTTTTCGTCTTATATACGTAAGTCTTATCTCACCAAAACATGCCTGTTAAAAAGGGGGCCAAGTTCCAATCGGCTAATTGTTTGCCTAAAAAAGGGGTGAAATCCAATCTAATGCCAAGTTTAGATGCACTTTGAAATCGATCATAATCATCTTCATCAACAGCATGATCCACTGGTAAACATTTGCCATTCCCAAGACTCGCCACCACACCCAGTCCTCTGCCTTCCACATCCAGCCACTACCCGCCACCTTATTCACGCTAACGGTCTATCTGGCCGAAATTCACTTTATCATACACCCAACTTAAAATATGGTATAGTTGTGAAAATACGTAGGTGCTTGGCTAAAAATATCTAAAATTATAATACTTCTAAATTTGAACTTGGCAGGTTAATTTAATTATTTAAATTATATAATATTTAAATTATATAAATATAAATAATTATATAACTAAATAATAAATTAATGATACAATTAATTAAGTGTTACGTACAGCACGAAAACCTGCCAAGTTTAAATTGAGAAGTATTATAATTTTAGATATTTTTAACCAAGCACCTACGTAATTTCACAACTATACCATATTTTAAGTTGGGTGTATGGTAAAGTGAATTTCGGTCAGATGGACCGTTGACGTGAATAAGGTGGCGGGTAGTGGCTGGATGTGGAAGGCAGAGGACTGGGTGTGGTGGCGAGTCTTGGGAATAGCAAATGTTTACCAGTGGATCATGCTGTTGATGAAGATGATTATGATCGATTTCAAAGTGCATCTAAACTTGGCATTAGATTGGATTTCACCCCTTTTTTAGGCAAACAATTAGCCGATTGGAACTTGGCCCCCTTTTTAACAGGCATGTTTTTGGTGAGATTTAAATACTTTTTTTCAAGAAATCGTACATACAATCGTACTATACAGCCGTACAATGCATAACTTACAGCATGAAACATACAGCTACCATCTGATGGCATAGGAATTACCCTATGTGGTATATCTCCTCCAACCACCGAAAGATGTACTATTTCCATCGTTGGTAAATGAATAGTAGAAAAGAAATAGAGTGAATTTGTGCTTTTAACACACACAAGTAATCAATCAATAAGCAATATCAAAATTAATCCTTTAGCAAGTCAAATGAGTGATCCATTTAATCGTAATCGTAACCATATATAAGATATCAAGACGTAAGTGTAGAAAGAAATAGAAAGGAATGACCATCGATTCCTTATCGACTTTCATTCATATATACTGCAGACAAAACAATATCGCGATTCAATTATACCGCTAGCGCCATCTATCGAAAGTAATTTATAACAATAGAAACCTGATTTTTTAGGTAAGCAATATTTAATTAAGTTATACAGTGTGCATTATGTATACATGACAATATTTTATATCCCTTATATATATATGTATATATCAGTTCTTAAGAAGCGCCCCACACTTTTTTCACAATAATATTAATTTAAAAATAAATAACAAACAATAAATGGTATTTTTGTGAAAAAAAGCGTGATGAGCTTCATATATCACTTCTTGAGAAGCGCCCACGCTTTTTTTCAATAATACCATTTATTGTTAATTTTAAACAATTTAAATTACATTCATTTCCAAGGTTGTAAAGGTTAAATTAGTTTCCACGCGGTTTCTTTCATCATTGGAGAGTGTTTTTTAGTTTTTTTTTAAATTATATTTATTTTTTATTTTTTAGTTTCATTTATCACCGATTGATAGATGTACTCATATTATTAATTATTAATATTTCATTATTATGTATTTTATTGTGCTGAGCTGAGCGCCTATGTAAAGGTTTTGATTACCTGTCAGTGAGTCAGTGCCAAAATTAGCTATTTTCACAGGGTCATATTTCAGGATCTACTGAAGCTTTATCTATGAAATTTGGCATACTGCTTTAGGACTAGTATATAATTACGTAGGTACAATTTTATCTCTGTACTTGCAATAGACATTAAGCTACAGGGGGTCAAAAGTGGGTCGAATTTATTAAAAATTCGATATTTAGAATTGAGGCAACTCACGCTTGACCGATTTCTTAAATTTCTTAATTTTTTGTTAATCTACATATAACACACAACCTGTGTACCAAATTTCATAATGCTAAAACAATGGGAAGTGGCCTAGAGGTTTTGATTACCTGTCAGTGAGTCAGTGCCAAAATTAGCTATTTTCACAAGGTCATATTTCAGGATCTACTGAAGCTTTATTTATAAAATTTGGGGTACTGCTTTAGTACTAAAATATGATTACGTAGGTAAAATTTTATCTCTGTACTTGCAATAGGCACTGAGCTACAGGGGGGTCAAAAGTGGGTCGAAACGGTTCGTGTAAATATAGTGCACGGCATGCGCCGGCCTGTGGAACTTGGCCGGCGCACTACCGTGCGCTTAGATAAATTTGAGGACTAACAACTAACAACTATGAAAAAATTTCTCTATCTCAATATCTCAACCAATTTTCATATTAGATACAAAGTATTCTATATATTGATTCCTTTTTAACTTATATATTATTTCTTCCAAATATTTTTCGCACTCTTAAGACAGAACTAAAAGAATTTGCAGTTTGTCTTCTAAAATAGGCTTTTTTTTCTTCTTTTCAAATATGGTTAGGTAGAGTAAACTTACTTGTATGTATATTAAAATAAGAATTACATATTAAAACTTATAACCTACACCTAAGACTACATGATTGACCCGATGTTAGGATAGCAATACCATTCCATAGCTTGTGTGTATCAGGAATCTTCTGGTTCACACGCTTGGTGTTCGTTCCGCGGAGTCAGCGGCGTCACTCGTTATATATTATACATACAACGATATCGCCCCGGCGATGTTCATTTATTTCTTCACAGGCGTTTTCAATATTAATAGTTTATTTGTCAGTTATATATATATATATTGTTTTTAAATATAATATTATTGTTTTTTTACAGGAATGTCCGGAAGGTGTGGTCCACGAAGATTCATTCAAAGACATCTACGCCAAATTCTTTCCACACGGAAGTGAGTTCGACACATATAAAACCTTTTAACATTTATAAATAGCTATTTTTACTGCTAATGTTTTATTACAGTAAAAACTAACATAAACATTTAAAATATGTACTAAGCATTTTCATCTTAATTAGTATTATATGCTTAGCATTGGCAAATAAAACTTTTACGTTTCAACAAACTTGGTCAAGGAATTGCACGTACATGAAATAATTATATGTAAGAGAAAGGTAGTCACTTGTAGCCTTGTAGTTAAAAGGTCCGCCTCTCAAGCACTAGGGCGTGGGTTCGATCCTGGCAAGTACCAATGTGATTTTTCCAAGTCATATGTACTTTATAAGAGTATTCAGACGCCACTGACTGATGAAGGAAAACATCGTGAGGAAACATGGACTTATAGTTTAACAATTATAAGTTTGTTATCGCCAATCCGTCTTGAGTAAGCTTGGTCATTAATGCTCAAACCTTCTCCATGTGAGAAGAGTCCTTTGCTCAGCAATGGGCTCTGATAGGCTGATGACGAGAAAATAATAATTTGTGTTTAATATTAAGAATTATCATCATCTCAGCATCTTTTAGATCAGTAAGGTAACAAGTTTTCGTGACTACATACGTAGCGTCAACAGTTTTTCGTTCAAACCCTTAGTATGAATTAATTTGTACGCTAAACGAGAAACGCAACGTATGCAGTCTGAATACTTGTGTTAATCATACTTAGGCTCTGAAAAGAAATTTTTTTCATTGTTATCATAAATGTATGCATATTTAAACTTGTTCTAGCATTATTTAATGCAGTGTTTTTCAATGTGGGGGTCGCTGGCAAAATGGTCAAGTTTGGTCAAGTTATGGTCAAGTTTATTTTTGAAAAGCATGTCAGGTCGTGACTCGTGGTGCTATTTTTGTAATATTAAATATCATATCACCTTGTAATTGAAGTTTTTTTGTCTTTTTGTTTTGATGTCCACCATTGCAGAGAATGTCTTTAACTTAGCTTTTTAATTTAATAATTTTTTTGCCTATCTATGGCATAAGGGTCGCCAAAATTTTCCAACCTTTAGAGGGGTTGTGATATTAAAAAGATTGAAAAACACTGTTGTAATATATTGAAAGCTAATAATATTTTGTTTATTCAAACCGGGAATCAAACTGAACATTTTAAAACCATTTCTGCCACTCATACATATGGTTTCGTATGTTTTTATATATTATTTTGTGTTTCAGACTCAGCGTTGTACGCACATTATGTCTTCAAAGCTTTTGACGTCAACTGCAGTGGAGCTATCAGTTTTAGAGTGAGTAACAATTATTATATAAAAGAAAGTCGTGTTAGTTACACTATTTAAAACCCAAGAACGGCTGTACGGATATGGTTGGAATTTGGTGGAGAGATAGCTTAGAACAAGGAGACGGACGTAGGATAAAAAAACTTAATAAATTTCAATATCTGGTTATTTACGGCATCTAAGGTGGAATAGAGTTCGCTCGGTCAGCTATACATATATTACTAATTCCGAAATTAATGTCGACGAAGTCGCGGGCATAACTAGTGTTTTGTAACTTCATTGAATTTAACATTACGTATCATCTAGAATATAAAAACCTAAAATATTATGTACTAGTTATACCCGCTTGTTTTTTTCGACTACATTTTTATAAACTTGCCTAAATCATTCCTTACAGCTTTTTGTGGTGAAAAATAAGCGGAATTTCAGAGAATAAGCGGAATAAACACGAAATGATAATATAAAATCGACATATATATAAAATTCTCGTGTCGCTGTGTGAGACAGAGAACTTCTCCGAAACGGCTGGGCCGATTCTCATAAAAGTTTGTGAGCATATTGAGTAGGTTTGAGAATCGGCCAACATCTTTTTTTCATACCTCAAGTCATGAGGATTGTTCAGCCTTAATTTTTTTCTCTTCCGGACGAATTTTTTTGTTATTATTTTTTTATGCATTAAAAAATACCTACAACCCAAAGTTTTTACTTTTTTATCACCAACCCCTATTTTTATATGGCAAAACAACATTTTCCGGGTCAGCTACTATATATATATTAATTGTCTTTTATAACAGATTGTATAACATATAAGGACAAAGAGTAAACAAGGCCAACATCAAAACAAAATCGTTAAATGTTTGTTCTTGATAACACAGACAAGTTGGCACTGTTTTCTATTGCAATAAAATGTACAGTACTTCATAAAAACCATATATAGATATCTTTTTAATTACATTTTTATAATATATAGACAATATAGAAATATATAGTAATAGTTATAATTTATAAGTAGTGGTGCAAATCTAATTTTTTTACGCGAATGAACGCACTGAAATCGTTTAATATTTTGTCAATGTCAAAGTTCTTATTTGTTGGACGAATTATAATCTCGTACTGTGTGGAAACACAAAGTTTGTCGAATGGTATAAAGATGGTTATTAAATTATAATCTTTATATATATAATTCTTCTGTGCGTGTGTATGTCACTGAATTTATCTCAAACGACTGGACCGTTTTTTATTAAATTTTTTGTGTGTGTTCAAGGGGATCTGGGAATTGCTTAGATTCACAATTTTGTCCGCTGGACAATGTTTTTTTACTTAATTTTTAATTTATTAGTAGTTGTTGATACAAACGTTTTTTTTTGACATTAGATTTGACAACTAACTAATATGTCAATCATTCTGTCGCACTTCAAAACACGGAGATTTATGGCTTACAGGTAAACTCCAAAAATATAAATAAAAAACGTAACAGATATTTCTTGATTATAGGGCGATACGACTAGGATACGATAGGAGGACTAGTATATCTTGTCATTATTTTTTCCCCTTTCATGACACGATCGTCATGTCATTGCCCTATGTCATGTCATGTCATGTCATTGATTTTTGTACTATAATTGTATCTTAATTATTTGTTTACATGAAACTAAATTAAATTTAGTTTTCAATTTATAATTCGGTGATAATAATATTTATAACTTATTGTATGATAACGAAACGCAAAATTTAGACCACCTAAACTGACTGACTGGTTTATTCAAAACTAGTTTTTTCCTGCGACTTCGTCTGTTTAAGTTTCAAAATTAAATCTAAATCCTCTTTAATGACACCAGATAAGATTATGGATTTGATCAGCTTATTTTTTTTTCTTTTTCAATCGGATGGAAAGTATCCTATGTCTTTTGTTCTAAACTATCTCTTCACCAATTTTCATCCAAATCCGTACAGTCGTTCTTGAGTTATATATAGTGTAACTAACACGACTTTCTTTTATATATAGATTAAGATATATCCAGCATTATTTTTTTCATTTTGAAATAGACCTATGTATGGAAATTAGCCTTAAATCTTTTAATTTAATTTCAAATATATTTAACACTTTTTTTACTTGGATTTTTGCATACTTTCAGTCCAAAATGACAGCTTCATGACAGTTTGATGACGTCATTAAAAATGGCGGACTGTTACATTCTATTTTATTGCGTATATTTAAAATTTATGAATGCATTATTTTGTAATGTATTTGAGAATAATTTACTGAGAAAATTAAATCTGTTATCAGTGTGTTTAAATACTGAAATGTCCTGGATTGTATCCAAGTTTGGAGCAGATTAACTTACATCAGTTAACGACTCAGTTCATTTCCAAGTGCCTGTATACAAATATGTTTAAATATTAAAATACTTAAATATTTATATTATTAGGAATATTGTTTTAAAATTTGTATAAAAATGTCCAATGGATAATTTTTGAAGAATTATTTAGTCGCTTTAAGTAACTTAATTCATTTAAATGAACCAAATACTTTCGGATTACTTCGAGTATGTATTTATTTTTAAACTATATGGTCCCGACGTTTCGATTACTTTGTAGAGACCGTGAGATTTTTTGAAAAATAATAAAATACGCGTTTTCGTACGTCGTTTTTCTATTATTTTAAACTACATACTCCCGACATTTCGGTTACTTTGCAACAATGATCACGGGCAGACGGCAGATGAGTTAATCTTTCTACATTGCTCTACTTATCCATGTATTTGATTTTGCCACTTGCTATAAACCTTCTCCAAAATTATAAATACATTTACTAACACAATTAAACGAAACTGACTTAAATCCAGAACGATAAAGATTCCAGGAAATGTACCAAAAAATATACACTATATACGTAATTCCAGGAATTATTGGTGACACTCTCGACTCTTCTTCGAGGGTCTGTGTACGAGAGATTGAGGTGGGCATTCAGGTTGTATGACGTGGATGGAGATGGAGCTATCACCAGGCAGGAACTGGCTGAGGTAAAGTCATTTAGAAACAGAAGTTAAGATTGAGAGGAATTAACAGGCTATAAATACTATGACTATTCCTGGCAGGAGCCACCAATGTGATTTTTCCGAGTCATATGTACTTTATAACTATTTAGACATCACTGATTAATGCATTCCCAAAGAGGGTTGATGTCAGGCAGGCGATCGTAAAAACAACTAGCCAAAACTATTCACAACATGCAAGGTGAACCCTGGCTAAAGCTGGGGAATTGCCAGGTAGAAGAAGATACGATGGACTATGTCTATTCATATTATAATAGTTTCTATGAACGTAATTTGATGATTGGTGAAGTTTTATAGTCCATATTTAAAGTATGGACTATCACGACGCTATCTACGGTCTAAAAGACTCAATACTTTTACCTAATATATAGTCCCAATATCACTGATATTCTTGGTAAATAATGAACATACAATATAATATCCTTACTTTAGACCTTACAAATATTTTACATCTACGCGAGTTAAGTCGCGTACAGATGTTAAAATGAAAAGACAGTCCATCGTGTAACTGTGCTTTTGATTTTATCGATATTTCTAAGTAAAATCCCTTCAATCATAATGATGACGTCATATCCGTTACAGTATATGTTCTCGTCTATTTCCAGGTGGTGGTAGCTGTTCACGAGCTGCTGGGTCGCCGGGCGCCGCCGGGCTCACCCGCAGCGAGGCTCGATGATGCGAAGGCTAACGAACAGGTTGGAAACATCTACCCACACTTTGGAAACTATCTACCCATACTTAAGATACAATCTACCCACAATTTGGACCCAATCTACCCATACTTTGGGACACAATCTACCCACATTCTGGACGCAATATACCCACACTTGGGACACAATCTACCCACACTTTAGACACAATTTAGTCGTACTTTGGACTTAAAGAACCATAAAACCTTTATAAGTTTACTAGAGTTAGGATCATCTTTTAACATCATTATATTCATTGACAGTCTTTTCTAAATAAGACCATAGTAAAATAAGCGAAAAAACAAAGTGTTCCGAGTAGACCTCCAAGGCTCCACGGAAGACTTAGCCTTGTCTACTTTGGCTACCAAAAAAATTTAGGTTTCTTTACAAACTCTTTTGTGTTTTCTCCACAAAGTACACAAGATTATAAATCTTCAAACAGTAGCAAGTAGATGAAAAGGGCACTTTTAAGAGTTTCTATAAGTACCCAAAGCTGAAATCAAATGAGTATCTGTTTTTTTATACAAAAGGAATAATTATCAAAATGTTCTGAAATCCTACTAATATTATATTTGCGAAAGTTTGTGAGCGTGTGTTATGTTTGTTACTTCTTCACGCTCAATCGGCTGAGCCGATTTTGATAAAATTTTGTATACAGGAAGCTGATGTCCAGGAATAGGCTACTTTATTTCCTGGAAATCCGCGGGTAACACCGCGGGGCGCAGCTAGTATTAAATACAACCTCTTTTCTGTTTCATTCTGAATGTCACAAGGTTATTGACCTCCTTATGTTATTGCAGGTGGACCGGGTGTTCAGGAAGCTGGACCTGAACCAGGACGGCGTCATCACCATCGAGGAGTTCCTCGAGTCGTGCCTCAAGGATGACGTCATCACGCGCTCGCTGCAGATGTTCGACACGGTGCTATGACGGCAGACTGATGCGGACCACCAGCGCGACGACAGGTGGGCGGCAGGTGGTCATGAATAAAAGACTGGTGGTGGGCGGCAGTTGTTAACGAATAAAAGACTGGTGGTGGGCAGCAGTTGTTAATGAATAAAAGACTATTGGTGGGCAACAGTTGTTAATGAATAAAAGACTAGTGGTGGGCGACAGTTATTAATGAATAAAAGACTGGTGGTGGGCAGCGGTTGTTAATGTATAAAAGACTGGTGGTGGGCGAAAGTTGTTAATGAATAAAAGACTGGTGGTGGGCAACAGTTGTTAATGAATAAAAGACTAGTGGTGGGCGACAGTTGTTAATGAATAAAAGACTGGTGGTGGGCAGCGGTTGTTAATGTATAAAAGACTGGTGGTGGGCGAAAGTTGTTAATGAATAAAAGACTGGTGGTGGGCAACAGTTGTTAATGAATAAAAGACTGGTGGTGGGCAGCAGCTGTTAATGAATAAAAGACTAGTGGTGGGCGACAGTGATTAATGAACAGAAATATAGTTGTGGGCATATACATAGTTATCGGTTCCTTTATGTATAATAAACATTAAAAGTGTGTTTCATTATGAGCTTTGCATTTCTCGTTATAATCATATCGTAAAATACTCTTTAAATATTATTTATACCAAATCCCAAGAGATTTCAAACTATATAAATTCCGTGTAATATATACTAAGGCTTTATCGCACTGGAATCGTAAGATATTAAGTCAATGGGAGCCTATTTTGTTGGACTTTCTATATTTGTTGGACGAATTATATTAAGTATCATATATATATCATCAGTGATGGTTGGAGGGCGCAGTCCGAGCCTGTCTGCCGCTGTCCCCGGCGCCCCGCGGCGCTCCACCGTCTGTGCCGGCAGCTGACTCCCTGGACCAGCCTCCTCATATAGCACGCTTCCTTGGAAATATCACTATCGACGACCCCGATATTAATTTTATGACAGCTGTCAATGTCAGTGTCAGTTTTGACAGCAGTTTGAATATGGAATGTTTTGTGATATTAATCATATTTTTTAAATGTCTATTTATTAAAATGTAATCGGTTTATATATGTTCTACGGATCACAAATAATAAATTTAAAAGAAAGATTTAATTGTCTAAATATTGGTTCAAATATAATATATTATTCTGATTTATATAAATATGAAATTGTTCCTAAATAATAAATAGGGTTTTTTTATGAAACCGTTAGTAGGTATCCATTGGACGTTGGCTGGACGTCTTATACAGATAAAATAAATTACATTTATATTAAAAATCGTTATATTTCCAATGGAGTCGTCACCAATACAATGTTCAGGTACTTTCGAGTACAGAAGTATTAAATATTCATAAATAATTACAAAATAATTATTATATAAAATATACATTTTAAATATATAATAATAAGAATTATTGTCATTAAATCATTCTCTAGTATATATATTTTGTTATTTATTATTTCAAATAACTTCTGTACTTGATTAAAACCTTAATAATTTCTAGGCATTTAATTACGCTAAAAATAGTTCGAGTATGTAGATAGTTTTATTATAGAGCCCATTGTTTTTACAAGTAGCATCCTAGATATAGTACATAGAATAATCTGTCTTGTTGAAAATGTTACGTTTTTTGATAGTTTTTAAAAGATAATAGACAATTTTGTTTATAATTACGACCATAGACAATTAATCACTCGACCCTTTGACACTTAATGTCAATTAATAAATGACATTAAATTGCGATAGTTGAAAATTTTACCGGTAAATCTGAATCGTAAAATCATTAATCGGTTTTTTTGTATGCTTTTTTCTTTTATAGTTATTTATTTTATAAACACCAACAGGGTACCATCTCCAAATCGCTACCAAATAAACTAATATATCTACACGCTTATATTTTTCGACAAACGGATGTATACGGATTGCTTTTTTTTAATTTTACCGATTTTTCTATAAAACCGAAACGATCCCGCCATAATTTTTATATTAACAAATGAGCTTACCCGATGTTCACGAAACTCATATAAAATATTAATTTCTAAGTAATTTTAAAAGCAATTTTTAAATCATATCATTATTATGTAAATTATAAAGTGATTTAAAATGCGTTTGATGATACAGATACAAGACGGAATGGCACACAGACAGATTATATATGACACAGATAAAAAATATTCACAGATAAAAAAATATATGACTATTTAAATTCATTTCTATTCCTATATTAGCGACTGTTTATTTAATTTTAGGTAATTTAGGCTTTCCCTAGATCATAAGACTACGTTATGTTGAATGTTACATCACATCTGGCTTAGGTTAATGAAAGCAGACGATTTGATACAGAAAATTAAATTATTATATACTAGTTTTTACCCGCGACTTCGTCTGCGTTAGTTTCAGAATTACAAATGTATATCTGACCGAGCGAACTCTGTTCCTTAAAGACAGTAGATAAGATTTTTGGATTTGATCGACGTATTTTTTATTTCTTTTTCAATCGGATGAAAAGTATCCTATGTCTTTCTATGTTCAAAGCTATGTTTCCATCAATCTTCATCCAAACCAGAACAGTCGTTCTTGAGTTATAAATAATGTAACTAAAACGACTTTCTTTTATATATAAAGATAATTTTAATTTCCATGAACCAAACATCAATATAAATGTGTGAAAATAAACCTTCTATCATCTATAATGAATTGAATTGCTGAGCCAAATGTGATGTAACTCATTAATCTAATCTTATGAGACCGTACCTTATCGGCGTTACAAAACGACTGACGTAGATTATAATAACAATCTATAGAACAGATTAAAAATATAATTATTATAATTTATTTATCCTATTATGAGTGAGAAAAGAGTTTAAATATGTTTAATTTATCCCAAAGTTAAATACAATCATTATATACACTGTTGTAATTTAAATTTCTTGTTATATTCTATGTGAAGTGGACTTGACAGATTATTTCATTTCTGTAGGTGGTACTTCACTTGGCGTTGTGTTCGGCCAAATAAGACCATGTGTGGACAATATATTCGTCTTCATTTGACATATTTGCACAAATAAGACACATACACAAATAAGCGAAAACGCAAAGACGATGGCATGCCAAGTGTGGATGTCGTGTTTGTGCTATTTGGACTACGTACAAATATTTGGACAAATGCAGCGAATACGCAACGCCAAGTGTAGTGCCACCATAATATTCGTTTAATTACATTTGATTGTTTATCAATATAATGTAATATTAATTTAAGTCAATTAAAAATTTGATTGAAGAAAGAAAGTTGTAATGTCTATACTTATATTTGGTTATATTTTAATTTTTGATAATCACTTCAAAATTATTTCAATACTTTTCATAGAATGTACGCTGATGAAAAAAAACTGTTTTGATGGACGTGATTCGAATCATTCGTTCGAAAAATCAATGGAATGAATGAACGAAATCTTTAACACAATAATAATATTCATTCGAAATTGAATGTTCGAATCCAATAATAAATGGCGCTGTAATTAAAAAATAGCAACACATTTAGAAAACTTATAAATCAATTTGTCCGCAATTTATAGTTTAATAAATAAAAACTTTCATTAGAACTTATCCGGACAGTGCTTAAAAGTTTTTTATAGTGAACTTGTTAAGGCTTTTCCATTTTATGAAAAGTGATATCACCGAAGTTATTGTGTATTGTATTATTGTAAATATTCGTCGCTGTGTCAATACGTCCACGTTAAAACTGATAGTAAAACAGTTCTTCATGTTAATATGTGTTTTATTGATACCATAATAATAAAAAAACTATCTGTAACTTTACTAAAGAGCCTATATGTGGTCAAGTTACTACAGCTCGAACATGGTCTGTCTCGACCGAGGAAGTATCACCCTCTCACAGAAGATCAGCGTGAAGTAGTCTTTAATGGCTGCGTTTTGTCCGATGAGTGATAGAGACGAATGCCCTCGCCCTGTTCCCACCCTTCCCTCTTCCACAATCAAGCTCGGCAACGCACCCACAAAACTATGTTGCGGACGTCAATGGACGACGGTACCCCTATTAGATAGGCCGTCGGCTCATTTACTGCCTTCAGCATAAAACAAAACATATTAGATAAAACTATACATTCGTATCTTCATTGAAATATGAAAAATTGACTATGTAATATCTATTATCTGTAATGTTTACAGTAAAGAGATTGGGACAACGCCATCTAAAGGCTTGAACTCTGAGCATTATCTTTTAATAATTATTTTATGATAAAGTTCATAATTTTATTACATGTATAGTATAGTATTTGAATAGTTGTATAATAATTGAATTTAAAAAATAACATTACCAATGTTCATTGTGAATTCAAATGGTTAAACTAAAATAAACAATATTTCATTGAGAACGTCTACTATTTAAAACATAATTTCAAGAATAGATTCAACAGCATCAATCTTAATTTAATGCAACAAGAAATATAATTGAAAACTTTATTTTTTACATTATATTTTAAATCGTAAACAATTTGTTAGAATTGAACACTTCTCCAACCATGAGTACTTGTCAATGACAGTTGACATTTATTATCAAAAAGTTGTCATTTTACCAAATAACAACAGAGATTATTTACGTTTTTCAATTGAAACACTTATTTTGAAATTAAAAATGTCTAAAATGGCCCAAGTAGTGGAAGGTGAAGCATCAGAGTCGGATTCTGAAATAGAGGAAGGAAAATCTCCCGTACGTAACACTTTCATTTGACTAATATGTAAACAGTGCTCGTTAAAATCTTACTAATCCCAGCCAAAGCTAGAATTTTAAAGGATAGTTAACCTGGATAATACGCTACAAATAAACCACATTATTGCTTATTTATTTGCTACAGTTCTAACAGATTCTATCTACCAAAAAAACTGCAATAAATATATAACTTGTACATAATTTTAAATCTTCAGGATTCGTCCGCCTGTTCCAAAGCCTTTGTGATATCAGGAGAGGCACCGGAGTCTGATGATGGTAAAGAGACACATTTAAAATTAAAACGAAATAAATATATGTATATACAGTCCATAGAATTCCGACCATTCTAATATGTTATAACATCAAATATTACTCAATATTATACTTAATATACTTTAAAATATAATACATATAAAATAATCCACAATAACTAATGTAATATTATTTCCAGAATCCAAAATCCAGTCTCCAAGTTTAGACGAGCTCGATGCTCCTCTCCATACATCCATGTTTCCAGCTTCACCAACTAAACTGATGCACAATTCAATACTACATCAGAAACTGTGTAAGTATTTTATAGGCTAACATTTAATATTGACTAATGTTATCATACCCAAGACTTTGCCAAGTATTCATTGAAATGAAACAAATTTTATTATGGTGGTGGTGGTGGCCTAGTGGTTAAAAGGCCCGCCTCTCATGTTCGAGTGCGCGGGTTCGATCCTGGCTAGTACCAATGTGATTTTTCCGAGTCATATGTACTTTATAAGAGTATTAATTAAATTACTTTTTCATTACCCTTATTTAACACCTTCAAAGTCTATAAAGAAACCAAATTAATGAATATTAAGCAATTACACAACTACACTACTTGTATTCTTATACGTAAAATCTGAGACAAAAAAATACGCACAGAAATATCTTTCAAAAGCAAAGGTCAATTACACAAATATGCAACTAGACATGCTAGCTATCGAATACTGCTTAAAACTAGAACTAAGAGTGGAAAAAAGATTATTATTTTTGAGGGAGCAAAACTTTATAACAATTTACCTAAGAGGTAAAAATTCTAACAAATTTTTCTATGTCCGAATCTCGACTTTATAACCATATTCTGTGTAACGATTCTCTGTTAAAATAATTAACTGAAACTGTTATCTCATCTGTTTTGCTGATTCGAACGAATTGTTATATTTAAAAGTTAGTTATAAGTTCTCATGTAAATGACGTTGTCATAATGAGAATAAAGTTCTTTAATCTGAAAACTGAAACTGATTTAGACATCACTGATTAATGCATAACCAAAGAGGGTTGATGTCAGGCAGGCGGCCGGTCGTAAAAACAATTGGCCAAAACTATTCACAACATGCAAGGCAGTAACTGGCTAAAGCTGGGATATTGCCAGGAAGAAGAAGATATAATATTAATTTTCGGATAGTGTTTTTGTATTATTTTAAACAAGATAATCCTGATGTATCAGTCACTTAGCAGCAACCATGACCATGGGCACACAAAATAAACTAATGTATTGAACCTTTAAAAATCTCAGCAAAAAATTTCGTTTTTAATTTTAATACCTAGATCATTTTCCTTCATAGTTTTTTTATTCTAAAGTCTATCATATATAAAACAAGTATTAATTCAACTTTGTTTCAAATAAAGTGTCATTATAAACATATTATTATAAATTAATTCTTTTTCACAAAAAACATTTATTTAAATGAAACTAATATTTTCGAATTTACTACGAGATTTTTATTTTTGATTATAAATGAGTAATTACATACTCCCGACATTTGGTTACTTTACGGTTTTACTTTTTTTCACAGTTGCTGTTACATCCGAAATTATTAGTTTAATTTAAGTAAATACTCGCGAAATCTTAGATGTTATTAAACACATTTAACTATAAAAGTATGTTGACAGTTTTCAGTGATAATTCATTAACAGTGTTAATATACAATTATATTAATATATTACTTACATTACATACTAAAGTTGTTTTAGGTTTAAGTAGATGAAATAGAAAATTAAATGTATTACACAACTGGGAATCAAATGTGTTGTTCCAATCCAATGTATTGTTTCACTTGGTTTAACAGATGAACTGTCATGTGCTGTCCCAAATTCTTAGGCTTAAAACAAAATTATATATTTATTAGTATACAATATAATCTTTTATGTTCCTCCCCTAAAGTTATCTTTTATTTATTTTTATCTTTTATCTTTTACAGGGGAATGTAATGTATCTTTAAGAGCAACGATTGAGGGTCTAGTGAGGAACAGCACTAGTATATGTGTGGAGAAACTGATGACATCGGATAAAATACTACTCAGTGTACAGGTGAGATGAAACTTCTCATCATTCCATGTATTCAAGGTGCGTGTGTCGGGTCCATCGTTGTAGAGAGGAGCTTCAACAGTGACTGGGACTTGGGACCCAGGTGTAGGTTTAATATATATAGAGAGACGAAACCTATCATCATTCAATATATTCACGGTGCGTGTGTCGGGTCCATCGTTGTAGTGAGAGGAGCTTCAACAGTGACTGTGACTTGTGACCCAGGTGTAGGTTTAAGGGTCCCTATCTAACGCGTTAAACGCTCACCTCCACCGTACAAGCTCCTCTCTCTACCTAACATAAATATATTGTGATGGCTTCTTTAGTATCAAATTAAACTATAATTCATAATATATGTATTGTGTTCAGCATTAAGACTGAATGACATAACCTAATGCAATGAAATGATACCTACATTGTATTTGACATCATATTATTTTCTACCGAGCAAGGTAGAAAATATATAAATATTGGTAATTACTCCAATTAAAATATGACTCTTCCTGACATCTATTGGCGAATAGTAATACTACTTTTTGCTAATTACTTTTACTAATGGCGTTGTCAAGTAACAGGAAGTCAATGAGTGTTTGTTTTGAAGTTAGACTAAGAAATTAATTGTTGATTTTATTATTTTGTGTCTTCTTAACTTGTTCACTTAAAAATACCTAAACGAAATTGAAAAAAACACACACAAAATAAACACTAATAATTCCTAAATAGCTTGGTAACAAGATATTATGTATTATATAACTTTGTGCAAATATTTTATAGTATCAGTTTTTATTAAAATATTTATGAATGAAGTAAGGAAGTCATAAGAAAAGCTCCCTCTCAGAAAGAAATCACTTATTAAAATATGAATTTTATTTAATTCATATCAAATTGATGTTAAGTGAAACCATGGGGCATAAGTAGTATGTGCATATGTTTAAATTTCAATCATATACATTATCATATCATAAGGTCTTACTATCCAGCAATTTTTATATGATATATTAAATTAATTATGAAGGCACTTGAATTACTTAAAGGAATATAATTTAACGTTCCCATTTATTTGCTTTTGCCCGCAACTTCGTCTGCGTTATTCACAGAATTAGAAATATATAGCTGAGCAGGCAAACTCTATTTATTCTTATAGACAATGAAAAATTTTGGATTTTATTTATTCTTTTCCATTGCATTACAAGTGTCCTATGCCCTTTCTATGTTCTAATCTATCTCTCCACCAATTTCCATCCATATCCCTACATCCGTTCTTGAGTAATAAATAGTGTAACTAACACGACTTTCTTTTACATATATAGATATGTACATGTGTGTATTTGAGTGTGAGTGTGTAGTTGCCATATAAATAATATTTCAAAAATAACGTTTTTAATCATATTTTGTTTCCCAGGAGAGTATGAGAGCTACTAACGCCAACCTCACGCTGGCCAGAGCTCGTCTCAAACAGATACACGAAGAGTTACAGAATGCTAACTGCGGCAGCGCGCTACCTACGGTTAAAATAAAATGATTGTTATAATGAATTATTAATATATATATATATATAATGTTTGTTGGCTGTCGTTTTATTTCTTGTAACACTAGTTTATGCCCGCGGTTTTGTCTGTTAGAAATTTGAGTTGAGTTTACGGATGTATTTAGTGAAATTAAAAACTAGCTAGTAGCGCCATCTATGGACGGTGATGTGAATTAAATGTGTGAATATTTGTATAGCTAATGTTGTTCTGATTTATAAGTTACACTAGTTTTTGCCCGCGACTTCGTCCGCGTTAGTTTGGTCAAGAGTAATATATGTAGGTATAGCTGACCAGGCGAACTCTATTCCGTCTTACAGGCCATAAATAATCAGGTTTTTCCTGTTTCAATCAAACAGAATGATTGACATATTAGTTAGTTGTCAAATCTAATGTCAAAAAAATTTTTGTATGGGAAATAGAAAAGGGCCGTTTTTAGGATTTTCCCGGCAACTATTCCAACTTTTCTCACCTTTTAAACCTTCCCTGGACTTTCAGGAGTATTTCAAGACTAAAATTAGCCAAATCGGTTCAGCCGTTCTCGAGTTTTAGTGAGACTAAGGAACAGCAATCCATTTTTATATATATAGAAGATTACTGGAAAGTTTATCGAAATTCACTCAATCAATTATTTTAATTTATGATGACTTTAGTAACAAAATACAACTGACTTTTTGAATAAAATAATTCGAACAGTACAATTTCTTCGTAAATCACTTGTTTATTTTTTTATTTTTAACTTCTTTGCACTGTGCGTTACACGACATTCGCTCTGTCTCACTCTTTTTCTCAATCTGTCTCACTCGCTCCCTACTCTCACTCCACGGCTAGTTGCTTCATGCTACGTTCGCTCTGTCTCACTCTCTCTCAATCTCTCTCTCTCTCTCTCTTTCGACGCTTCCGTTGCATACCGTCGTGACGTTACATCTGTAAAAATTTTACCCTCATGCGCCTAAAGAAGTCTCACTTCAAAAAAAAGTTTTATAATGTGTATGACATACAGATAAAAATTGTGATGATTTAATAATAGCATTATATTTAAGTGCCTTTTGATGATATCTAAATGTGTACATCGTAAATATTTCTGTTGTTTCTAGAAACATGTACGTAACTTGAGTTTGCACTTTGCACCATCAGAAAAACTGATTATTTGACGAAGCTAACTCTTGACAAGTGCTTTCATGTCAAAACGACCTTCAACATCCATATGGTTTCAGTAATTATAAGTAAAAGTGTCGAACTACTCGCGGTAAAGAAATATATTGACACTTAAAATATCTTTACTTAAGACAAACTGTCTCTACGAATACGCCAAAACATGGCGTTGCAAGTCGACGTACAAAAAATTAAATTATAGGTATATTATAATAGTCACTAGACATCAAATAAATATTATTTTATTGATTATTAAATATAAAAACTTTATTTTTATTTTGTAAGTCACTTATATTGGTTTGAATTTGTACTTATTGCTATCAGTATAATAAATGAAAAAAAGTGATTTTATAACAAAGAAAAATCGGTTTAAAATAAAGTATACAATCATTAACAAAAATCGGATTTGCGATTAACAAGTGAAATTAAATATAACTTATATTATTGCCTCAAAAGTTAACCACTAGCAGAATTACCAGGTAATAAAAATGAAATCACATAATAATATTCAATAAAGTATATTTTCCATCTCTTATATACACTGGACTTATTCCATATATCAATCTCGTGATGTAACTCTGACGTCACGTCAACCCCTAACCCCTAGGTCAGATAGAGGTTAACCCCTAAGTCAGATAGGGGTCAATACGCCGTGTATCCATCGGTGTTGAGACCCCAGGATAACATATTATCGTCTGTCCACCTTCTGAACATGGAGACTCTCACGTACGCGGCCGGTACATCTTTCTCCCCACAACCTATACCCCAAGCGACTAAACCGCTGAGCTTGTAACGATTCTCGCTGATAGGACATGAGAGGGGCGCGCCGCCGTCACCCTAAGGTCAAATAAATGGTCGTTTATTTATTTATTTGGGAAACAAATAATTTAAAGACACTGTAATATAAAATAAAAATAACAAAAAACACAAATCAATCAAGTTTCCACTTAAAGCCAATACACAAATTCTTACTATATACAGGGTGACTGGTGAATTACTATCATTATTTAAGGAGAATACTCGGTACGTGATTCTCATTCGAATTATGTAAAAAAAATAGGCACTTAATTTTTGACAAAATTTCCGTATAAATAAATAAAGTGTTGACACGTTCCAAGTGTTCCAAGTGTGGACGCGTGCGGCGGCGTGCTGATACAACACCACGCCGCCGCACGCGTATGTGTGAGTGTGTGTCTATACCTAATCTGTAGGGTGTTCACACGATGCGTTTATTAATTACATTAATAATTAATTAATTACATATCTTTTGGTTAACTTTACTTAGAAGTTTATTAATATTTATGTTATATTAATTTTTATTTTGTCATATTATGATCGTCAAATATCACGTCCTCAAGTATCGATAGTAATTCACCAGTCACCCTGTATATTGCGTTTTAGAAAGAAATCAATCAAAAAAATACTAGATTTCTTTAAATAGTTTAAATTAAAAATAAAACATTTATCTAATTATGATATTGAAATTATTTACTAAATTAAGGTTTTATATGTTTAACAATATACTGATTCTTAAAACTATTATATTTAGGTGAAAGTAAGTTACAATATATACAGATGACGCTAGTTTATATAGATTTACCATATATATATATATATATATATATATATATATATATATATATATATATATATATATTAGAATTTATAAAGTCAAAATTTTGTGCTTTCACATTTTAAGTCAGGTTTTAATTTTGTTCTAGCATCATACAATATAGAATCTTCTCTACTACCTGACATGTATCTCTTCCCTCCTCCCCACCAGCGCACACGAAGCTCCTGTGTAGTTGGAAGTGGTTCCCGAGGCGGGTCCTCTTTAACAGGTTGGCACACTGGTCGAAGGGCACCATGTCTACGTCCACGCGCTTCAGAATCACCGCGTAACGACCTCTTCCACCTAGAATAACATAACATAAAATCATTATATATATTCTTTAGTATATCGATTTTAAACTTTAAGCCCGAAACTGCTTCTACACAGACAGAAATCAAGATTCTGAAATTTTTTTTCTAAACGACAATCTTCATTCTACTGGAACAAAATCTGCAGGTGCTCAAACGTAATAGTTATTTACGAAATAAAATATCTATGACTTTTCTTCTTCCTGTCAATTTCCCAGCTTTACCCAGGGTCTGCCTTACATGTTGTTAATAGTTTTCGCTAATTGTTTTTACGACCGGCCGCCTGCCTGACACCAACCGTCTTTGGGAATGCATTATAATCAGTGATGTCTAAATACACTTATAAAGTACATATGACTCGGAAAAATCACATTGATACTTGCCCGGGTCAGGATCGAACCCGCGCCCTGGTGCACGAGAGGCGGGCCTTTTCAACCACTGGGCCACCACTGACTATATATATACTTTAGTATATTGATTTTAAACTTGAAGCCCAAAACTGCTTCTACACAGACAGAAATCAAAATTCTGCAATTTTTTTTCTACACGACAATCTTTATTCTACTGGAACAAAATCTGCAGGTGCTCAAACGTTATAGTTGTGTACCAAATACAATATCTATGAGTTTGTCCTTCAATAACATTATAACTAGCATATATATTTCTCACCAAACACGTTCTTCCCCCATCCGTTAGCAACACATTGCCGGCTGTAGTCTAACTCCTCGTCTTGCTCCGGCAGACAGATGACGTTGATGTGAGCGGCCAGCTCCAGAGGGCGCTGCAGGCGGAGTAGGGCCATGTCGTTAAAGAGAGTCTTAGGGTGGAAACCTGGCAGAAAAATATTATGATGATACATTGAATATATACGAAGAAATGCCAACCCTAACATACCATGCTAACCCTGACAGAAAATATTTTGATCAATTGGTTATTAGACAAGAATTTTGATATTCTTATCATGGTTTAGCCCTGGCAGAAAAATATAATGATGATATATTGAATATATGAGAATAATTGACATGTATTTATCAACCCTAACATATTATGACCTGCCAGAAAATAATTATGAATATTAGACAAGAATTTGCATACATTTGTTAGAGTTGGACCCTGTCAGAAAAATGTCCTATAATCAATTGAATATTAAACAAACTTTGGTATGTTTATAAAATATTGAATTTGGTTTTTTTTTCTTTAAATAGTGATACATAATGTTTGGAAGATCTATAAGAACACTAACCAAAAGTATTAATTAGTTTTAAGACTAAAAGATGAAATATACAGACGTTGACTTCAATACAATAACAGCGCGCAATAAATGCAAAAAATACATATAATTTTTACATATATGTATAGAGAGAGAGATAGACAGTCTTTGAGAGAGAGACACAATGTGTGAGCGCATGAGAGAGACAAATATCGTGTGTGAGTGAGATAGAGATAGTGACCAACCAACCTTCCTTAATAACAATATCTTCGACGAGCCTCTCCTGTGACTTGAGAGGTTCCTTGGTAGTCTGCGTGTCCCATTCACCTGCTCGGGCGATCAGACCACCGGCCGGGTATCTGGAGAAACGGATATACAGACATACATATATGTATTATGAATATATTGACATTACGATAGGCAAAAAACACGAAAACCAGAGATGTGAATAAAAATATTAGTGAGGAGTTAGGAAATATTTAGCTCAAACTTAGAATATCTAGAAAGTTCCCAACCTTATAATCGATTCGTACTCAAATTTATACATGAAAAACTGGGAACTATCAGAAATAAGTTAACTTTGTTCTTGATGGGAAATAAATCATCTCTAAACCTAAAAAAGATGTCATAAATAGTGTTTTAATAATACGTCTTAGAAAACTCATTAACAAAAATTGCTATTGAAACAAACAAACCATGTGATGTTATGAAACACTTACTATAGTTACACTATTTCGTTAGTAAATAATATAAAATGACTAGGAAATAACTCAAATTCACACTAAAATCTATCAAAAATATATATTTACTAGCTAATCCGGCAGACTTCGTACTGCCTCAATCAAGAAATAAATTATGTCTTATTTATTTTTTTGGTGTTTACATTTAAGCCATAAATCTCCGTGTTTTGAAGTGCGACAGTATGATTGACATATTAGTTAGTTGTCAAATCTAATGTCAAAACACCGTTTGTATGGGAAATAAAAAAGCGCTGTTTTTAGGATTTTCCCGGAAATTAATAATTTTTTTTCAGCTTTTATACCTTCGCTGAACCTCCACGAACATTTCAAAACTAAAATAAGATAAATCCGTTCAGCTGTTCTCGAGTTTTAGCGAGACTAAGGAACAGCAATCCATTTTTATATATATAGAAGAAGATATAGTTATTCTCACTTGTATACAACATGTGCCCCAGTCATGACCACGAGGGGGTGTATGAGCACCCCCACCCCAACATAGCTGCCGTTAGCAGCGTCAAGCAGCGCCACAACCCACGGGAACTCACCGAACTGAGCCTCGTCACCCTGGAACAGAAATACACGAGTGAACACGGGAGGCGACGCTTGTATGACATGAGTATATGAGTCATAACTTTAAAAGGAAATGCCGATTTTGATTCAGTTTCATGTATTCGATAGACGTTTATTTTGATGTGTTATTTGAATTTCATAAAAAAATTCAAACTTTACATTAAAAGTCATTAAATTATTTGACTAGCAATACTTCTTAACTGATAATTTTGTCCTAAGCAACTAAATTTGTCTCCTAAGTAACTAAATACCTATAAAATGTAAACATAAACATATCCATTCAAAACTTATAAAAAGGTAATGTATTGAAAACTATTTTACTATCAATAGTTGATCAAAATAAATAAAAACTTTATTTTAAACAGTTTTCTTCTTCTGGTGTAAAATAAGATAGTGTACTTCATCGACGAAGTAATAATAAGGATAATTATTAATATTTTTCTGGTTAAAAATTGATAGTAATATTGCTGAACCGATAATGAACAAATATAGATGAAAATTATGTTAAGAAAACTGAAAGTACATTATAGTTGTACTCTTATTAAGGACATTATTAATATGAAAAACTACTTACATTTCCGCCGGTTATTTTGAAGCCGATACCGTGTGGGTTGCGATACCCACAACCCCTTTTTGTTGGGGGTTCAGGGGTTGTGGGTTCCACGTAAGGCTTGGACTTCTTGCAGCATCTCTCCACACTCTCCTGACAGTCATCGTTGACGCCGAATCTGGTGGAGAAGACAAGATGTTTGAATGATGAATATATATATCCCTACTAATATTATAAATGCGAAAGTAATTCTGTCTGTCTGTCTGTTACGCTTTCACGCCTAAACCACTGAACTGATTTTAATGAAATTTGGTACAGAGATAGAGTTGACCTTGGGAAAGAACATAGGATACTTTTTATCCCAGACTTTTGAAAGGTTCTCGTAGAAACGCAATATAACTGAACTCCACGCGGGCGGAAAGCTACTATAAGCGGAAAGTTTCACATATTGTTAAAATAGAATGCCTAAAAGATTATATTGGAAGCGCCTATCTAAAAAATAGAGCAAGAACATTAGATATTGCTATTAAATTAATTCAGGCGTTTATGCTTCAACTGAATATATTTCAAATGGTATTCTTACCTAACGTCTAACAATTCGTATCCTGTGACACTGGCGTTGTTACTGTGTACATCATTTAGGTCACTATCACACAGGTAGTAAGGTAGACATTGGCACGGCTCGCCATTACTGTTCGTGTTTATAAAACCGCTTTCCGTTGGCTTCACTGTAATCTGTGAACGAAGGCTTATGTTAGATTTTACACACACACACACACACACACACACACACACACACACACACACACACACACACACACACACGCACACACACACACACACACATATTTAGAACCTTTAAACTCCCGAACGCACCCGAAGTGACGTTAAAGAGATGACGTTTGGTTTGTTCACTTTTACGAGGGAAAGTATTTGTAGACACGACATGTGTTTGTAAATTGAATTTAACTTATTTAAGGTGTTTTGGTTTAAGATAGTAATTAGTTTGTTCTAGTTGAGGTTTGATTTGTTATTTAAAAGTACTGACTTTATAAGAAAACTATATTCTTTTATAATTTTGTTAGAATCCTCAATATGTATATACTTACATTGATTTATGCTATTTCAAGTGAATTACGTTTTAACTGACAGTACTGAGTTTTTTTACTTATTTTTAGCGTAACCGTAATTAAAAACACATTTAATCAAAGTTCTAAAACATTAATCGTATACTTACTTAACTAACAAATAAAATAGAATTTATATAAGATTTTTCCTTATATTTAATGATGTCTTCTTAAATTTAGTAACTAACTCTGTAAATCGTCAGTTGTTTTCAAGTGTGTTACGTACGCGCTACATATGAAGAAATAAATGAACATCGCCGCGGCGACATCTTTGTATGTATAAAATATATAACTCTTGACGCCGCTGACTCCGCGGAACGAACACGAACGAACTATCCTAACATCGGGTCAATCATGTAGTCTTAGGTGTAGGTTATAAGTTTTAATATGTAATTCTCATTATAATATGCATATAAGTTTCGTAGTTTTCCTAGAACCTCCTTTTGCCTATATAATTAGTGTTAAATTTTACAACATATTTTTTTACAAGCAGTTATTAAAATTTATTATGATTGTGTGATTAACCAAGCATATATGTAAATAAATATAACTAAGTTTTTTTAATGGTTTTCCTCGTATTTTCCATCATATAATATACACATAGATCAAATATCGTCATATAATATTTACTTTTGGTTTTAAACATCGTTATTTTACAATAATGCCATCTATATTACATATACAAACATAAAAATCCTTGTTATTTTATTAGAATAAGTTATACGCTTAACACAAGTTTGTGATACTAAATACTGATAGTTCTGGGTTTCATCGTCATCAGTTTATCAGAGCCTACTACTGAGCAAGGCCTCTTCCCACATAGAGAAGGTTTGAACATTAATCACCACGCTCGCTCAAGACGGGTTGGTGATTTCAAACTTTTATATAAATTATAAATCCAGGTTTACTCACGATGTTTTCTTTCATCAGTCAGTAGTGTCTAAATATTGTTATAAAGTACATGTGAGACGGAAAAATTTAAAATGTAGGACACCTCGACCTAGGTCCAAGTTTATTATTATATGATATGATAGGGGTCCCTTAAACCTACACCTGGGTCACAAGTCCCAGTCACTGTTGAAGCTCCTCTCACTACAACGATGGACCCGACACACGCACCGTGAATACATGGAATGATGAGAAGTTTCGTCTCATTTAGTATATAAATAATTACCGTAGTAAGAATAAAATAAGCGTAGTACTTACCACAATTAAGCAACGCTACGTTAATACTATTCGTGAAAGAAATACTCTTAACTACCAGTATGCAGTGTTAACGAAGACTTGTGGTAATATTTTGTAATAATCGAACGGCCGTCAATATAATATGTTAAAACCTGTTCAATATTCTACTGTGATGGCGTCAGAACTCAGAAGTAATAAAATAAATAAAAACCAGTGTGATTTAGACCGAATTAAAACTTCTTTAACTCTATCTATATGCATATCATTTCGATCTGCGAACTACATAATTGCAAAGTTAATTATTATTTTTTATGTATTTATTTCTTAGTATTAATAATGGTTTACAATTTTTTTTTTGTTCTCACCAAGCTATTATGCTTGACGGTGAGAAACGCTCATTTTGTTTAAACAAAACATAACATCATATTCTTAAAACTGAAAAGTATATCAACACTATGTATAAGTTTTATCTATACTAATATATGTCCATCTTTTAAGACTAACTCACAAAAACCGTTTTTACGGTACCTAATTTGGTCGAAATAATTTGTTTAAGTTGTATCAACATAATTAATCAATTAAACAATATTAATCTTTATTCAAATAAACAAATAAATATATTGTTGAGAGTACTTCATTGTGAATTTAAAAAAAACAGGTTTTATCCTGAAAATTCTACGGGAACTCGACCATTCCGAAAACCCCTCAAGAACGGGAACTATGTGGAAAGAACCAAAAATCTGCCGAAAGTCACTATTCCACGCGGACGAAGTCGCGGCAAAAGCTAGTATTATTATAAAGTTCACTGGTCTTGTTTTACGATGACGACAAATTTTCGTCATTGAGAAACAAGTCCCTAAATTTTGTTTATATATTAAAACCATTTTTGTATGAAATTTAAGTTGATACATACGTCTTCAAGCCTGGGTGGTAAGTTTGTCGGTCTGACAGTAGCTGGTGGGGTCCCAAAGACATCCACAAGGAGTGATGGGTCCACGGTGGTATGAGGATAAGCCATGGTCACCGCCAGAATCGATAGAAGTGGCAACAGCATCTGGAAAAATCTTTATATATAAAAAGTCGTGTTAGTTACACTATTTATAACTCAAGAACGGTTGTACGGATATAGTTCACAATTGGTGGAGAGATACATAGATTAGAACCAGGAGACGGACATAGGATATTTTAATTCAGTGCAATCGAAAAAAAAACAATAAAATCCAATATCTGGTTATTTACGGCCTCTAGGGCAGAATAGAGTTCGCTCGGTCAGCTATACATATATTACTAATACACAAATTAACGCGGACGAAGTCGCTGGCAAAAACTAGTATGAAATAAAATTTAACACAAAATAATAATTGAGATAAGACATTTGAGTAGATATTTATTTAAATGAAACTAATATTTTTCGTAGTACTACGCGTATTTTATTATTTTAAACTACATACTCCCGACGTTTCGGTTACTTTGTAACAACCGTGATCACGGACAGACGAGATGTGGCAAAATAATAAATATAGAACGAAAAAGCGTGTCACGATAGCTCAGTAACAAAAGAGACTGAAACTGATTTTTAAATATCAGATTCGAATTCCGCTTGTCTAAGTTTTATTGAATTTGTTTTTTCAGTTCGATATTAAATTATGAAATAAATGCATGGATATTTTATTTTATACACATGCTAATTGTCAAACGATCCAAGAAAAAATTATCCTTATTAATATTTTATGTTAATATAGAAACAACGAATGTATTTAATAACAATATTTCTACAAAATCTACATATTCTTTATATTTTTTGACTAGTTCATTATAATTATTGATATTTAAAATAATTTCTAAATACTCTTGGCGACTATGACATCTTTTTAACGTTCTATTACGAGCCTAAGCGTCAACAAAATATTTCATGTGTAAAGTAGACACGACCGTTTTAGTCGGATGATAGATTGAGACTGAAAATTGAAATGTGTGATGGAGAGGAGTGGGGGGAAGCAGAAGAAGTAAGAAGAAGATAAACCAGGAATAAGATATAGAGTAGATAAAAGGGTGCACTAGCAATGGTGTTAGTATATTAGTGGTGGCCTAATGGTTAGAGGGTCCGCCTCTCGTTGCCGAGGGCGCGGGATCGATCCTGGCCCGGGCAAGTACCAATGTGATTTTCCCGAGTCATATGTACTTTATAAGAGTATTTAGACATCACTGATTAATGTTGATTCCCAAAAGAGGGTTGATGTCAGGCAGGCGGGCCGGTCGTAATAAACAATTAGCCAAAACTATTCACAACATGTAAGGCAGATCCTGGCTATAGCTGGGAAATTGCCAGGTAGAAGAAGAAAAGGGTACACTAGCGATATGTAACAGTGCGATAATTTGATAAAGAAACTTTTATTTTTAAGCTAAATTGCCAAGTCTGGTTGATGACTACCAGAACCATTTATTGCTTTCATTGATAAGAAGAATAGTAAACATATTATGGCTAATGAGAAGATACTTTAGAATTTTTGTTGAACATATCTTTCATCTCATTTGTTTATTACTTTTCTTCTGATATTACTTCTTTACTGGCAAAATATTTAAATACTTGTGTGGGTGTGTGTGAGAGAGAAAGAGAGAGAGTGTGTGTGTGTGTGTGTGAGAGAGAGAGAGAGTTCGTATGTGAGCGTTTGTATGTAAATGCTTGTTTAAAAACCAATAATAATTTTGAAACTTCTTCTTCTACATGGCAGTTTCTCAGCTTTAGCCAGGGTCTGCCTTACACGTTGTGAATAGTTTAGGGTAGTTGTTTTTACGACCGGCCGCCTGCCTGACATCAACCCTCTTTTGGGAACGCATTAATCAGTGATGTCTAAATACTCTTAGAAAGTACATATGACTCGGAAAAATCACATTGGTACTTGCCAGGGCCAGGATCGAACCCGCGCCCTCATGCATGAGAGGCGGGCCTTTTAACCACTAGGCCACCAGTGACTACTATAATAATTTTGAAACTATCTGAATGTATATATGTCATGCGGAACATAGAAGTCAGGCATTCAATAGAAAAAAAAATAACTAAGAATTAAATAACTTTTGCAATTTATAAAATCTTTCTGATACAATCTAAGTGAAATAAATACATATTTTAATTAATATCGAATTATGTTAATAAAAAAACTGAACTGGAATAAAATATATTTTTGTAACATAATGAAAAAGATTTATATGAAAATAATAATAATCATCATCATCTGCCTATCAGAGCCCACTGCTGAGCCTCTTCTCACATGGAGAAGATTTGAGCATTAATCACCACGCTTGCTCAAGACGGTTTGGCGATTTCAAACTTATCATTTCATAGTATATGGCTCGACATCCTACTAATACATTTATTTATATAACTCTCTGTTTAAAGAAACTATTCATCACAATACCTTTCTGTAGTCGTCATCATAGTTGACAAAGTCGTGAGAATAAGGCCTCGGCCTCGAATTTCACATTCACTGTGATTTGAATTTGAAAATAAAAATATATTATTACAAAACCATTATGTATATTATATAAACTCAGTAATGGCCTAGTGGTTAAAAGGCCCGCCTCTCATGCATGACGACGCGGGTTCGATCCTGGCAAGGACCAATGTGATTTTTCGGAGTCATACGTACTTTTTGAGAGTATTTAGAGTCCACTGATAGAAGGTGAAGGAAAACATCGTGAGGAAACCTGGACTTATAGTTTCACAATTATAAGCTTGAAATCACCAACCCGTCTTGAGCAAGCTTGGTCATTAATGTTCAAACCTTCTCCATGTGAGAAAGAGGCCTTTGCTCAGCAGTGGGCTCTGATAGGCTGATGAAGAATGACCGTGTGAAGTTTGATCCAACTTGAAAGATAGGATAGCTTACATCCTAATTTATAGACGCAATATTATTTTATGGCAAATTATTTCTCATTCAGAGTTATCTGTTAGCAAACGACTTCTAAGTTGTATTATGTATAACGTCACGTGACACAAACTATAAATATAGCTCACGTCACAACATCAATTGTTTAAACACTATACATTGCACGCAGACGAAGTCGCGGGCAAAAACTAGTATCCATATAAGGAGCTTGTTCCATTTCATTAACACTACATATTACAATCGTAATGCAAAAGAACCCATTTATTGATAACGTTGTTTCAATAAGTACGTTTAAATTAAACTCCATACTAAAGAGGATTTTGATATAGACGTTTACTTATATATACATATATTGAAAGTGGTGGCCTAGTGGTTAAAAGGACCACCTCTCATGCATGAGGGCGCGGGTTGGACCCTGGCAAGTACCAATGTGATTTTTCCGAGTCATATGTACTTTCTAAGAGTATTTAGACATCACTGATTAATGCATACCCAAAGAGAGTTGATGTCAGGCAGGCGGCCGGTCGTAAGGCCTCGGCCTCGAATTTTGCGGGCAGCGGAGCGGCAGCGGGAGCGGCAGGATCTTACGCGTATAATCAAATGGACCGACCCTCGAATACAGCGGTGCCCGCTGCCCGCTAGTTTGGAGAATAGTATGCGTTGCCGTGCCGCCGCCGCCGCCGCTCCGCTGCCCGCAAAATTCGAGGCCGAGGCCTAAAAACAGTTAACCAAAACATTATTCACAACATGTAAGGCAGACCCTGGCTGAAGCTGGAAAATTGACAGGTAGAAGAAGATAAATATATTAAAAAAATATTTATGAGTGACAAACTATCAATTGTCCGTGCTGTCCGTGTGTTACGCTTTCACGCCTAAACCACTGAACTGATTTTAATTGAAATTTGGTACAGACATAGAGTTGACCTGGAGAAAGAACATAGGATAGTTTTTATCCCAGACTTTTGAGAGGTTCTGTTGGAAACGCGATATAACCGAACTCCACGCGGGCGATGCTGCGGGCGGAAAGCTAGTATTATAAAATTGACTTTTCTCTTTGTAAACTAACTTTTAAACAGTTGGTTTTTACGTTAATACGATGTAGTAAAACCACGAACTACATATATTAATAATTATCTTTATATATAAAAGAAAGTCGTGTTACTTACTATTTATAACTCAAGAACGGTTGTACGGATATAGTTCACAATTGGTGGAGAGATACATAGATTAGAACAAGGAGACGGACATAAGATATTTAATTCTGTTCGAACGAATAAAAATAAATTAAAAATTCCAATATCTGGTTATTTACAGCCTCTAGGGCGGAATAGAGTTCCCCGATCAGCTATACATACATATATTATTAATACCGAAATCAACGTGGACGAAGTCGCGGGTAAAAATTAGTGTATTATAAAAATCTTAAGAAGAACAATACATGTGTTGTTAAAATTATTACTATTATAATTCGAGGTTGATTAAATACACAATACCTAGTTTAGAAAGCGACTGTAAAATTTAATCTTTGGTGAGGCAGGTTCAAGGTCAATATAATTAAAGAATTCTTTACTTTACATAGCTTTCATCATCATCAGCCTATCAGAGCCCACTGCTGAGCCTCTTTTCACATGGAGAAGGTTTAAGCATTAATCACCACGCTCGCTCAAGACGGGTTGCCGATTTCAAACTTATAATTTGATATAAGTCCTTCCTACAAGTTTAATTAAGTCGTTCCTACTATACTAAATTATAAATTAAATTTTGTAATACATCTCATTTAAGTGAACATTGTATGTTTTTTATGAGGAAATAAAGTTCTTTAAACACTACCTCACGATGTTTTCCTTCATCAGTCAGTTGTGTCTAAATAATCTTATAAAATACAAATGACTCGGAACCATCACATTGGTACTTGCCAAGTTTCGAACACGCGCCCTCCTCTGTGGCCAAGACGGCTTCTTTCAAATAACTTAACGAACTTTAAAAGTGGGAATCCTAACCAAATAATATTGTAATAAACAAAGTGAAATAATATTAATTAGTACAATTAACATTGACCTCGAAATGCAGCAAATGATAACGATATATTGGGTCAAAATAACAAACAAACACGCAGGGTCACTATTGGAAATTATTAAGGAAAAAAATATAAATCTATACTAATATT